TGGAAGTTTAGAATGGAAATAGCTACTTTATTGATGACAATGGGTTTGGACAGGAACCTTTGAAATCAATGAAATGTGCCCTTTACCTGCAGGGTGTGGGGCTCTTACATATATTCCTTCCCAGGCCCTCTCAATTTTGCATTAGACTTGTAGAAAAAGTTACCCTCAGTTTTTTAATTTTAATGGAAATAGTAACTGAAAATTAGAGTAATTGGTTTTGACTCCCTTGAGTTTTAAAATTTGTATTTTAATTCAGGAAATCAAAGTCATGTCTTGTAGTGTTAGAACAATACATACTTTTTTACTCCTGCTGTGTATGTCAATATGTAAATCAATGGAAGCATAACTGATGTGATTCTGCAAACTGTATATGGGGTAAAAATGGGAGTTCATAACCCACTTGAATCAAATTGTGAAATATGATATATCAAGAACTATGTAATGTTTTGAACAACCAAAAAAAAAATAAATAAATAAAACTACAATCAATTCAATAAATGTTCCTATATTGCAGCCATAAAAAAAAATCCTCAGGTCATGGTTGAGAAGATTTCTGGTTTATTTGCAAACAGATAAACAAATGAAAACGAAAATCACCCAAATTAGAAAATATCCCCAGGGCAAAAAAAAATCTTAATAGAGCTCATAGAGGATATAGAGGTACATGGCTTCCATACAGGAAATGTGTATAGTATTTGTGGCTTATATGTGCATATGAATTTCCAGATATTTATATTAGTGTAGAAATGATAAATGATTGCAATTAATGAAAACAGGAAATTGCAAATTTGCTTTTACTGTAACTAATTTTTAAATATTTGGCAAATTCCCTTTAAATAAGAATGGAACATAATCAAGCAGGAATGGCTTGGCCACATTGCCTAAAAGCAGGAGAGTAAAATACACAAAAATGAGAATGAAAAATTCAACTCAAAATACTGGTACAGATGGGTGAAGTAGTTACTCTATGTAAAAAAAAGATTATTTTGAGTCTGTATGAGTATCCAAAACCACTCCCCTATCCACCCTTTCTTCTTCCCTGCCCCTCAAATTGTAAACTCAGACTTCCTATTTTTTGCCACAAAATGGAGATAAGTTAAAACCTATACAGTTTTCATTATGTATAGAATAAACTCTTGTTAGCTGGGGGAATATGCAAAACAAACTTACAAAACGTTAATTTTAAGAAGTAATATTAGTAAGATCACCACAGTAAGACCTTTACAAGCATAATCTAATGTCTAATGATGGAATGTTCACAATGACATAAAAAATAAATATGGAATATCTATTTTGCATTTTTGAAAATAATTTATTATAATTAGAGATAAGATTAATCTCTCATAGACATTCAAATAGAATCAAGCAGTATAAAACCCATTGCTTAATCTGCTATCTGTTTATTGACTCTGTAAAGGAATTTGTGTCTTTAAAAGACTATTGCATTTCATTTCTTTTTGTCTTCACTTCAGGTTTCAAACTCAGAGAACTACTCAGAATATTTAACAAAGTAAAAGATTAAAGTGACACAGATTTTGCCAATTAAAGGTTGATAGATGCCACTTTGATATGATTTGAGAGTAATCAGTGTTGTAGAGTGAAGTAAAATTTAGGAAACTGTCTATTGAGAGAGAAGACAGCACATTACACATTACAAAAACAACCACTTTTATAGGGATGAATTGGAAAACACATTCCATCTGATTTCAGTCAAGGAAAGAAGCTCTTAGTTGACTTAAAAAACTCTCTCTTAGCCTGACTTGGTGGCCACACCTGTAATCCCGTGCCTCAGGAGGCTGAGTCAGGAGGATCAAGAGTTCAAAGACAGTTTCAGCAACCTAGTGAGGCTCTAAGCAACTCAGGGAGACTCTGTCTCTAAATAAAATACAAAAAAATAAAATACAAAAAAAGGGCTGGAAATGTGGCTTAGTGGTTAAGTGCCCCTGAGTTCAATCATGGTATGAAGAAAAAAAAAAAAAACCCTCTCTCCTAATCCCATGTAAGAATAAGTCCCTGTACATTCATATATTTGTATCCTAAGAATATCTGCATATTGGGAAATTCAGATTATTAGATAAAGAAAACAACATCAGTTGTAAAGTGAATCTATCACCATTTTATTTCCTATGTATTAATTCATGTCCTTATAAATATAAACCTAGCCATTGTCTAGTGTCCTTAGGATTATGTTTATAGTTTCACTCTCACTGATAACTCATAACTCATGCATTCTTTATAATCTAGCATATTAGCTTGGCAGGGCTGTCATAACAAAGCACTACAGATTGAATGACTTTAACAACAGAAATTAATTTTCTCACAGTTCTGAGGCTAGAAGTTCAAGACCATGGTGTCTCCAGGGTTGGTTTCTTTTGCAGGTTTCTTTACTTGGTTTATAGATAAGCATCTTTCTTGTCTTCACAAAGTTTTCTTCTGTGGCACTTCTGAAAAACGATTTATTTTACATTACATGTTTTTCTGTCTGTAACCCAATCTTTTACAAGGACACCAGTCATGTTGGATAAGACTCATTCCTATGACTTTGTTTTACCCTAATTCCCATTGTAAAGACTTTATCTCCAAACACAGTCACATTATCAAATGCCAAAGGTTAGTTATGACTTTAACATGGGAAATTGGGGACTTCAACATATAAAATTTTGTGTATATAATTATTTTCTTTATTTTCTTATTGTTGTTTCGGATCAATGTTTATCAAATGTCAAATGGAGTAACCATAACAAAGCTGACCACATAGCTTTACAGAGCATATTGATAGAGGTCATATAATTTCTGCTATGAAACTTGAGAGGTGGTAGAATTTGTTGCATCTTCCTTAAAATACTAATTCTAGTGTAGAAAGGATAGGTACCTTCTTATTTACCCACATGTATTTTATTTAATATTTTTGATGTGCATTAGTTGTGGAGACAATTTTTGGAGTAAAGTTTTATGATGAACAAACTCAAATACTTCTTTGTAATTTTAAGCATTATGAAAAAAAAGTCATTGCAAACAAAAGTTTACACAAGCAAGAATTATTTTAAATGCAGGTGCTAAAGTAGGACTCCTAAGTAAGTTTGTGAAGTGGAAAACATGCATTTACTAATGTCTGAATCGTGAAAAACACAACTCCAAGTACCAAATGGGTAATTATGTTCTCAAACAGCCTCCAGGACCGGCAAGCACCAATTTTTATGTGCAATACTCTATTTGTATGTGCTACTAAGTCATGTGTAAGCATTCGGTAGGGGTAATTTTTGTTCTTTTTTCTCTCTCTTCTTCTTACTCTTTGCCTAGTCCATTGGAAATGTTATGTACATTTTGTCAATTATGTCTACAATTAAAGGGAAAAATAGGAACAACAAAGCTAAAGATAGAAACTAACAAAGCAACTAGAGTTAATCAGGATCTCACCTAATAAAAGTTTGATAAGGCATCCTACTTGCTCACTTGGGGAATTTTGTGTTCAGTCAATTGATCTGAATATATTGAAGTGAGGGACACTTCAGTAGAGAGAGCTGTGACAGCACCAAGTTAAACTATCAACACATGCATTTGGACCCTTGTAGTTAATGTAAGGTTGTTTCTTTAATGTAACTCTGAGGGTTGGCATTTATAAGGAGAACAGAAGAACTGGTGGAGATCAAGGCTAAATCCCATATGTTTGTGACTTCATGTCACTTTTCATTTCAAGTATTTGCATAAATGGCTTTTTTAGTAACATTAATTAAACATGGACAATCAAAATTATTTTGCTACCTCTGTGGCATTGCTATGAGGATTGGAGGCAATACATGTTTAAATGCCTTGCAGACTACTTCTCAACTAGGAGACAGTTGCTAAGATAATTACTATAACTTGCTAATTCCAATTCCATATGACAATACCATTGTCACAATAAGGGATCCATCAATATATTATAGCTTATTATTTTTAAGAGTTGTGCCAACTTCTGTGTAAACATAGCAAACTGAACTTATGCATTTATTTTTCTGTCCTTCCTAATTCACATTAAAATGATGGTAATAGAAGACAATAAGCCCATAAAGCCAAGAAGTTGTCTTTATAGAAAATTATTATGTTCATGAAATGATAGAAAGGAGTAGAGA